GCTCCCACCACCAGTGGAGGCAGCAGCAGCAGCTGCCGCCATTCTTTGGGGTGCTCATGGCTCACTGCAGGCAGAGCCCCCCTGTGGCACGCAGCTCTACCTGAGTCCTGGGGGTACATGTGGCACATGGAGGCAGCCACATGAGGCTCCCAGCACTGCAGGCAGGAATTGTGTGCCATTGGGTCAGGCCAGCTCTTATCTCCACATGGGGCTCCTGACACTCCAGTGGGAACCTGTGTGTGGCGGCACGAAGCCCGCTTGGCCTGATGGCACGTGGATCGGGAGACTTGCTGACCATTGGGCTAGGCTGGCTCCATACCTCCACATGCGGGTTCCTGCTGGAGTGCCAGGAGCCTCACATGGAGGCAGGAGCCAGCTTGGCCTGATGGTGCGTGGCTCCTGCCTATAGTGCCAGGAGCCCCGCTTGGCAGCATGGAGCCAGGTTGGTCCTGTATGAAGGCTTGTGCCAGCGGGCTGGGGTGACTTCATGTGCCACGTGTAGCCCCCGGACCTCAGGCAGAACCTCAGGCCACCATGAGTGTCACGAGGGCCCACTGTTGGCTGCTGCTGCTGCCACAGTAGGGGCTGTGCACCATGGGGAATGGGTGGGACCCTCCACACCTCCCCTCCCCAGTCTGCCCCACACAATATACCCTCCCACGCTTCCCGCACCCACACATGCATGCCATTGGGCCAGGCAGGCTCTGTGGCTATCCCTGGCTTACAGTTTCCCACCCATTTGCAAGTAGCTCTTGCAGGCTGGGACTCTGCCAGCTTGCAGAGAGATGGTTGCAGACAGGGAATTCATGGTTTCCCCTCTAAAAGGGAAAATCTGTGATTTTCCATGGGAAACAGAAAACCCAGATCCCTGTTTACCAGGATTGCCCATGGTCCCTGCTGCAGCCTCTGGATCCTCCTGATTCTGCTGCTGGCTTGCAGCTGAGACCTGGGTGGGGTTTGTGGGGGACACAAGCACAGCTGCCGCCCACGCATTATTGCAAGGCAACCTGCCTGGTCCTGCTGCTGTACCTGAACCCTTGGTGCCAGGCAAACTCTGAAGCAGCCCAGGACAGAACCTGAGTCCCAGCCAGCCCTGGAGCCATTGCTGTCAGGCATGCCCCACTTTTATACCTGCAGCAACCATAGAGACCCTCTGACCGGGTGCTAGTGCATCTCTTTGGAGGACCTGGTCTCTAGTTACTTTCAGGCATGCTCCACACCACTTTTTTCCAGTGCATTTTCTTTTGATATCGGGATTCCCCGGTATCAAATTTAGAGTCTGTGCTGCAAACAGGCAGCACAGGGAACATTTTCTAGTTTGTGGGGTGCCTTCTGTGGCATTTCAAATGCCACAACAGACACTAAGCTTGTGTGGATGTGATCTTAGTAGCAAACTGTGGGAATTTTGGCTTGACTGACCCCATAATTACATGGGAAGTTTTGCACTGATAAAAGCAGAGCTCATTTGGAAAATATTGTATATGATCATGTAATTAAAGCCAGAGTCGTCAGGCAGATGCACAAGGATTCTGAACTAAGGCTGTAGAAACATCATTCTGGTGCACGCTTCATTGTTCTTGATTCTGCAACATTAAAATATAGTGACTTTATTTTTGCTCTTTTAAAAAAAACAAAGACAAATTGAAATTTAATTCCATGCAACTAGATGGACACTCAGGTTGGATCACCCAGAAAGTCTAGACACATAGGCCTGCAGGACATACAGCTATTGCTTGAGGGCATGGAGGACGCTTCTCTTTTATGGAGATCAGGCACCAAAGACCCACCTTACCAGGATTCATTGTTGGCAGTCTCTGGGAGTTTTAAAGCTGCCTTTCATTGGCAGAACTCTTAAAGAAGGACAAATAGCAATGGTACTACTACCCATCTTTGAGGTGAATCCTCATTCTGGCTCAAATCACCAAACTTATGCGAGTGAGTGTAATTTATAATGTCCAGAATCAGCTTTAAAGCACCTGGTTCACTGAGTTAATTACACTTATGCAAGGGTCCCCTACATGCATTTTTAAGCATTACCTTACCCCATAAGTTTGAATTTAAAGTAATGAAGCAATCCAATAAGTACCTGTCCTCTTCTGCAGCCCGTAGACTCTGGGTATTTTTCCAATAAAGCACAAGTTTTAGGAACGCCTTTACAAGCATTTTCATTTTTTCTTCCTATGAAAAAAAATTATTGGAGCATTGGTAAGTGCAACACTAAATAACAGTCATTCTTACACTTTCAACTCATATAAACACATTTCATCCAGGGATTTCACAAAGCTGTCTACAAAAGATGGGTAAGTAATTATTCTCATTTTACAGATAATGAAACTGTGGTACAGAGACAACATAAGACTTGCAACATCAGATAAATTATAGCAGTCCCTGCTTTAAAACTGTTTGTAGAGAAAAGGAGACACACTTCTTAGGTATGATTCCAAAGGTATAATGATTAACAAGCATCTACAGGAAAAAGAGCTGAATATTACCACCAGGGCAGAGCCAGAGGGGGTGCAGTGACGCAGCCAAACCCCCCTTTCCGACTGCGTGGCATAAGCAGCAGACAGGGATGTGTCTCTGAGTGGGAAGGGGAAGGAAGGGAATTTTTACCAGCTTTGGGGACTTAAAAAAAGAAGTCACCAACTGCTGCTCCCATGGCATAGTCTGCCCACCCCAGTTGGGGGAGAAGCTGGGAGCACAGGATACAGCCACCCTTAGAGAACTGTTTGCTTCTCCCACACACCCCTTTACAAAATCCTGGATCCACTTCTGACAACCACAAGTAACTTACATCAAGGAATATTTAATATACCTAGATTTTAATATTTTATCTTACAGTTTTCTCTACTGTGAAAATCCTTATATTAACTTAAGGTTATTCCAACACTTAGCTCCCACT